GTTGTTGTTGTAGTTAATCTCTGTACTGGTTGTCGTTGTATTTTAGGTATTATTAGGGTGTCAATTCTTTTTATCTGGTATTAGTGTCATCATTGATGTAGTTATTGTTTTTGTTATTGTAGTTCATCGTTGAAGTTCGAGTTTTGGCTGTAAAGGTATTGCTGATATTGGTTAAAGTTTTGATACTGTTATTTCGGGCACTGTTGGTGGTACTTGTGTTTTTAGTAAAGATATTGTATTTTGCAGTGGTGTTGGTGTTGGTTTCAAGGGCGGGTTGTTGTAAAGGGGATAAACCGCGTAATCTACGTTTACTTGAATTATATAATCAGACCTAACCTGTCCTACCCTCCCCCCCCCAAAAAAAAAAAATACTCAACCAATTCAACCAAACTCATTCACTGACCCTCCCCCTCACGACATCCCCTAACCTCTCTCTCAGAGATGCTCCTCCCCTCTCTCACACACTTCAAACCCATAATAACGGTTAGCTATTATAATCAATAATTAAATATTTGAAATATTTCTCACACTTTTTCCATCTCCATCTAAAATGTTCATGAATAATAAGTTGCTGTTGCTGTAGCTATTATTGCTGTTACTACAGTCGCTGTTGTGGTGATTTATGTGGCGGTGCAGGCAATGATTGTGGTGCTATAGCTATTGCTAATGGTGGTGCTGATGACGTTGTTTTAAGTATCATTTGTCGGGATTGAGCTTTTACTAGTTTGACTCTCTAAGAAAATAGCGACCACATACTATGTCCGATCAGCAGCAGATAAAAGACAGTGTTACGTCAGATCAGTAAATCAGAAACCAGAAACACTTATTATAAGTATATTATTAATACATAGTATGCACGCTGTTGCCTGCGTTCTTTAAGGTTTCAGATAAAGAAGACGGAATAACAGAATCTGTATGAATTACGAAGTTACGTTTCTTCTTTGTCAAAGGGGTCTCGAAACAGCACGGTTTGAAGTTAATTTTAGTTTTAGTAGAGGTTTTACGGCGCTCGCAACTGCATAAGGTCATATGAGGGCCAAAAAAATAAATTAGATGCGTTACAAGAGAGTAACAAACATAACAAATGAGAAGGGGAGATAAGGACGATAGATGTTTAATAGGGAGAGAAGAAGCAAACCACACCAGAGCATAGCACCCGCCAGCCACCCACACGATTTGAAGTGATGTCGAATGACCAGAATGCAAGATGATTACCTGAAGCGGAAGCCATCTTGAGTAGTGAGAGGCAGGCGTTCAGTTGAAGCTCTTCCTTCTCCGGGAACTTCTTCATGGCATCGATAATGCAGGAAATGGCGTCACTTTTGGCGAACAGTACTTTTAGAGTTTCTATATAAGGGGTCAGACAGAAAATGACAGATTCAACAAATAAGATTAAGGGTTAGCCGAGATAACAAAGAAAAAAAAAGATTCTATTGGTTTTGGAAAAGAAAATCCTCATATAACAACAACATTACAAAAACACATCAGGAGCAACAGTAGCAACAAGAAAAACAACAAGGGTGGTAAAAAGATGTGAAAGGGCCTCACTATATGAAGCTGTCGCCATAATGCAACTGGCAATTAGAGCATTGAGAAAACAGTTGAAATTGGAAGGAATAATCACATTCATATATTTCTGTACATGCGTAAAATCACTCCCCTGAAACACACACACACACACACACACACACACACACACAC